TTTTTTTGAGTTTTTCGGGATTCAGTCGTGGGGTTTTCTTGGCTGTGTATTATTAATTGTGATGAACCTGTTATTGGCTGTGTATTATTAATTGTGTCGTAATCAGGCAAATGTTTGTTGGCATTTTGTTTTGTTTTGGAACGAGAAGTGTAGCAGGGGGAGTGCTTGAAATGTGTTGTACTGATGAGCTAAATTGACAGAGGATTGACTTAAGTTTTTGATTGATTGGTTGTAGGGATAAATTTTGATTATCTGTGTCAAATTTTTAGCTGCTATGGCTTTTCTGTGCTGTCAATATTAAGAGTTGTTCTTGAATAGTCGGATCTCCTTGTTTGTTCCCTCTTTTCCTTTTCAATTCCTTGCAGAAAGAAAATATTATGAAATTTTTGTTTCAGTGGCTAGACAACATGCATAGAGACTTTGAGTTGCATGTTTTGTTTGTACCCTATGAATGTAAGTCTGGAGTTTCTGCAGTGGCATGTGTTTTAGATGAGGGCTGACCTAAACTACCTAGGCCTTGCTTTCAATTTTTCCCGTGGAAAACCAAATGGGAATATGTGTTGCGACTATTCATTAGGGATTCGAAGTAAATGAATTAACCTTCAGAATATATCTGAAATGAAATGGGAAAGTATACCTTCTTTGCCAACACCATATTTTTCTTAAATCCTTTATTCCCCATCTCTAAGATTAGAGGAAAAGCCTATGTAACTGAACGTACGATGTAATACTGCTGCTCAAGTCCTTGACATAATGGCACCACTAAATCACCAACAATTATTACTATCAATATTTTACTTTCGATGCGGATCTCAAAATTCTTGCTTTCTTTTTCTCAGGCCGCCTCAGTACTTACATTCAAAGAAAGAAAACTTTGTTGGACATGGATATAGACCTGAGCCTGCCATCCGAGGAAAATGAAAAGGAACTAGACGGAACAAATGAAATTTCAGATATTTTAGATGTGGATGAAAAGCCCATCGATCCAGAAGGAGATGCCGGCGGGCAGGCACTCGCTGAAGATGGAGCTGAAGACCTGCATTCCCCTTCTCTGCAGGACATCGACTTCAAGGACATCACAATCCTCGAGCCGCTCCCTGGCATGGAATTCGGGTCCCATGGAGATGCCTATGCCTTCTACCAGGAGTATGCAAGGTCTGTTGGATTTAATACTGCCATCCAAAACAGCCGCCGGTCTAAAACATCAAGGGAATTCATCGATGCCAAGTTCGCATGCTCGAGGTATGGGACAAAGCGTGAGTACGAAAAATCCCTAAATCGCCCCAGGAGTCGGCAGGGGGGAGGTTCAAATCTGGAATTGGAAAATAATAGTAACAATAACAATAATAATACGAGCCGGAGGTCCTGCTCGAAAACAGACTGTAAGGCGAGCATGCACGTCAAGAGGAGGACCGATGGGAAGTGGATCATACACAGGTTCGAGAAAGTGCATAACCACGAGTTGTTACCCGCCCAGACTGTGAGCGAACAAACTCGAAGAATGTATGCTGACATGGCACGGCAGTTTGCCGAGTATAAGAGTGCGGTCGGGCAGAATCATGACCCGAGGGCACAGCTTGACAAGGGGAAGAATACGGCGGTGGATACTGCCGAGGCGAATATTCTGCTCGACTTTTTCATCCACATGCAGAGTCTGAATTCGAACTTTTTTTATGCTGTCGATGTCGGTGAGGATCAGCGGCTAAAGAATCTAATGTGGGTTGATGCTAAAAGCAGGCACGATTATATCAGTTTCAACGATGTCGTGTCTTTTGATACTAGTTATGTCAGAAACAAGAACAAAATGCCCCTGGCGCTTTTTGTTGGGGTCAATCAGCACTATCAGTTTATGTTGCTTGGGTGCGCTTTGGTGTCGGATGAGACTGAAGCCACTTTTTCATGGGTCATTAGATCATGGCTGAAAGCAATGGGCGGTCAGGCGCCGAAAGTTATAATCACTGACCAGGACAGGGCTGTGAAGTTTGTGATTTCGGATGTTTTGCCTTCATCTCTTCATTTTTATTCTCTCTGGTATGTCATGGGGAAGGTTTCAGAGACATTAAGTCCCGTGATCAAACAGAACGAGAATTTCTTGTCTAAATTTGAGAAATGCGTGTACAGATCATGGACCGAAGAGGAGTTTGAAAAGAGGTGGCGTAAACTAGTCGAGAGGTTTGAACTTGGAGAGAATGAGCTGATTCAGTTACTGTATGAGGATCGGGCTAAGTGGATCCCTAACTTTATGAAAGACGGGTTTTTTGCGGGTATGTCAACTGGTCAGCGTTCGGAGAGTGTGAACTCTTTCTTTGACAAGTATGTGCACAAGAAGACCACCGTGCAAGAGTTCATAAAGTTTTACGAAGCAATTATGCAGGATAGGTATGAAGAGGAAGCTAAAACAACTTATGATACATGGAATAAACAGCCAACTCTGAAGTCTCCTTCGCCTTTCGAGAAGCATCTGGCAGGGTTGTATACTCATTCCGTGTTTAGGAAATTCCAAGTTGAGGTCTTGGGGGCGGTGGCTTGCCATCCCAAGAGAGAGGGACAAGTCGGCTCGACTATCACTTTCAAGGTTCAAGATTTTGAGAGGAACCAAGAATTTGTAGTCACACTGAACGAGCTGACATCCGAGGTGTCGTGCATATGCCATCTTTTTGAATTTAAGGGATTCCTTTGCAGACACGCGCTGATTGTCTTACAAATCTCTCGTATATCGACAATTCCTTCACAGTATATTTTGAAACGGTGGACCAAAGACGCTAAGGGGAGGTATCCACTCGGGTTTGGGCCGGAACAAGTGCAGTCTAGGTTCGAGCGGTATAACGATCTTTGGCAGAGGGCGGTAAGATTAATTGAAGAAGGGTCTTTATCGCAAGAGAGCTATAATCAGTCGGTTCGTGCACTTGACCATGCTTTCGAGATCTGTCTAAACGGTAACTACTCGAGTAAGAATCTTGTAGAAGCTGCCCCCTCGGCATCGCCAGGCCTTTTGTGTGTTGAGGAAGAAATCCAAAGTGGGAGTTTGAGCAAGCCGAATAAGAAAAAGAATACGGTTAAAAAGAGAAAGGTCTTTTTTTTTTTTTTTTT